CCAACTCGCGTTGGTTGGTTGTCAGTCTCTGAAAGACGTATACTAAGCTTCAGAGCGTTTATGACGTCATCTGGGTTCTGTTAAATACAATAGTTTTGATAGTTCTGAATATAATATGAAATTTCTTACTGCAAGGTGTTTCGAGCAAAATTTTATAGTCCTTGACACACAAAATAATTTCAAACGTGACTTTTTCAATATACATACAGCGTTTAATGATCAATCTAAAACAAGTGATCGGAAATTGATATTCACTATCATTACAATGCAATTCTAGGCATTAGTAATAGGTATCTACATTTATTTTACTAATGCCCAGATTTTCATTGTAATGATATATATATATATATATATGGAGCCCAACATTTTAGAAGACTCCTGGACCATTCTCTACCTACATTTGTAGGTTTGTTTGAAGTTCAGCTCAAAGCTACACAATGGGCTATCTGTAGTCTGCCCACCACGGGTATCGATACCCGGTTTCTAGCGTTATAAATCTGCAGTCATACCGCTGTGCCACTGGGGGGGGGGACATTTATAGGATATACATGCATGTTTCACATTTTTCAAAATTACCATATGTCAGTTTTTCCCAAACTTTTGTCATCCATGACCCCATCTTTTTTTTAAAAATGAGTGAAAGAGAGATTTAAGTAAGGAGATGTAATACACGGATACACATTAAAATGCTGTATGTGTTGTAATAAGTGTGTATTGTTTTCATTAATAAAAAATATATTCAAACGCTTAATTTTGCATTATTGCACTATTGACACTACCCTAATCGCTCGCGCACTCTCCAAGAGATCATTTGCATCCCCCCCTGGGGTGCGCGCTCCACACTTTCGGAAACACTGTCCTATGTAGTGAGTTACCTATTTTATAGGCCCGACATGGCCAGGTCGTTAGGGCGCTCCACTCGCAATCTTAGGGTCGCGGGTTCGAATCCCCGTCCCACCAAACATGCTCGCCCTTTCAGCCGTGAAGGCGTTATAATGTGACGGTCAATCCCACTATCCGTTGGTAAAAGAGTAGCCCAAGAGTTGGCGGTGGGTGTTGATGACAAGCTGCCTTCCCTCTAGTCTTACACTGCTAACTTAGGGACGGCTAGCGCAAATAGCTCTCGTGTAGCTTTGCGAGAAATCCGTAACAAACAAACAAACCATTTGTAATAGAGTGAAATAGAAAACTGTAAATTAATTAATCAAGTAATTTTCAAAGATTTTCATAAGAACCTGTCTGAGGAATTTCGGTAAGGATATTATTGTTTTATAGTATTTGATGAAGCCACAATTCGTTATTTTAATTAAAATCTTAAACAATCATGCACAATGTTTCGAAAGGTAAATTTGATTTACGTGGCGTATGACAAGACGACATAGATTCCAAAATTGAGAAAAAATATTGGATTTGGATAATTACATTTCTATAAGGTAAAAGAATTACGTTTTTTTGAAATACATTCAACATGTGGAAATTGGAGATGAATTAGAAACAGAAACATCATGGAAATAGTTGAAAATATCTAATATAATTTCGGAATCCACTAATTGTATCATCGGAAATGGTATACAACAAACGTTCGGACATGATTTGTTCCTATACATTGGAAGCATATTAAGTAAATATAATATATATATAACTATACATAAAAAGTAGTGAAAGTGATGCTACTGTTAATGCAGACAAGTGTAAGTACGATTCATATTATATCCAAACTGTAGGTTCTCCTGGGACGGTAATATGTATGATTGGTGAAAAACTGAATGCGCCAGATGTGTGCATAGGGCGAAAAGTTTTGCCATTCTCTGACAGGGCAAAATAAATTATCAACTTACTTATTAATGAAAGTTTTTTAATTATTGGTTTTGTTTAACGCCAGGAATCTTTCAAAAGTGACAATTTCTTAACACATGGCTTGTAAACACATAAAAGCCTTTATATGAAGTCGTTTATATTCGTGGTGATCAGGCTTAGAGAATTAGGAAATGCATCACACAAGTCATATGTGAATTTCTGTGTTTTATTAGGGACGTCAAACTAGCATGGGTTCCTATAAACACAGATAATTTAGGAAAACGAATACATTAATAAAAGAATCACAAATCTGTCAGGATATTCCTACATACTAAAAAATATGTTTGGTTATTTTCACTCTATCACTTAAATCGGAGAGATTAATCAAATTTAAAGAAATTTTCTTATAGATATAAGAAGTAGCTTATAATAAACTTTCAGGTTTATTATATCTGAATCTATCTAAGTGTGTTAAAGTTATCTATATTTACAGTTTGAAATGTTTTATCCTTTAGTGTCTTCACGTAACAGAAATATTTAACAAATACCGTTCAGAGAAGTTTATTTTCGGCCCTTGTAAGTGTATGACCTAACAGAGTGATATTCGTTAACTCTTGCAAGAGTTACTGACTTTGAGACTAAAAATTCGAATAAAGTATACGCTGCTTGGTTGGTCAGATTCTCTTTCACGTGGATCAGGTTTCTTATAACACATTTAAATACAATGAAAATCAGGACGCG